TTATCCTCCTTTACCACTTGATTAAAAGAAGGGATTTCTCACTAGATGCCATCAAATACATAGTCCTGTACAGATCAGAGCAAGCATCATCAAATTAGGCTCTTTTTGAAAGAGAATTCATCAGTAAACTTCTGATAATTTTCAAATAAGATAAAAGTTCCTCCTTTCCAATATCTTTGCAATAGATAAATATACAGTGCTGTCAATATAGCTCAGGGAAAGACAACAACATGGTTTTAAGTCACATTCAGTGTTACTTCAAAAAGTTGATGCTTGCCATCCCTCAGCCATTAGTAGCAGGTCATATGAAAATCAGTAATTCTTAAAAGTCTGGACTAGAAGTCTATTTCTACTATCACATTAATAGATTATGTGGTATGGTGAAAAATTTTTCATCCATTCTTCTATTCTCTTGAAGCAAGTATGAGAATGCTTTTGTGTAAATGCAAAAACCTTTAACTTCTTGTAAGGTTTTGAGATTGCAACATGGTGTCCACTTAGACCTGCTCTCAGACTACTTTCCCCCCACCCCATAAGATTTTCTACCTCTTCTACAATACAGATGTTGTCTATAGTTAGCATACCCTCTTCATCAAGGGCCCACATTTGATGCTGCTAACACATGCACATCTATGCATCCAAGATTTTTCTAGTGTGAACTGCAAAGAGAATTTGTATCCCAAGCACAGAGGAGAAAGCAGGGCTCTCACTCGGTATCATCCAGCTCACTCACTGAAGACAGACAGATGGATCACAGAGATAAAACTGCATGTCACTGAAGACTGAGCCAGACCTACAGCTAGCTGTTTTGCCAGGAACTTTAGAGTTCCAATACTGGATTTCTGCCATCCCTAAAGGAAATGTATTCAATTAGACAGCAGCACTGTTACATTTAAAATTATGAGTTAAAATGCTGAGAGGTATTACAGTGCACTGTGGTCTAGAATTAGACTATTTCTGTATTTATAGATACAAGTTTAAAATGTTTATTCTTTTACTAGGCACCTGTTTTTCAAGGTAATATGCCCAGGACTGCTTTTTTATTACACCAGTTTTTGTATTTCTGAGCAGAGGATGGTTGTTTTGAAGAACTTTGTGGGGATAAGCAAAGGGAGACAAGGAATGAGTATTCATAAATATTCACTAAAATACATCCTCTCCACGAAATCAAGCAAAATTAAAGCCACTATTAAAAAAGAAAAAATAGAAACAGATAAATAACTGGATTTGAAAGTAGCCTTCCTTTCTTCCATCACCTACTTATCAATTCTTTCAGACTTCTTGGAAAAAAGTCTTTGCCATTTTTTCTTTAGCAACTTACAGGCCTATCAACAATATAGTTGCTGTTAACTATAGAGAAAAACATGCAGGGAAGAGGACTTTTCAAACTACAAGTGAAACCTTACACTTTCATCTCTACTAGATCAGAGCGCACAGCACTAAATCCCTACATTCTGCCATGCGCATATTCTACTGTGTCGAAATGGCTCTGTCTTTGCTACGTCTCAAGTCTTCTGCCATCTTCCTTCCACCTCTGCTGGTCTTGATACTAATGATCAGTCCAGTATGCGTTTTTGTACACAGCTCTAGATGGGCCCTATTCCCCTCTCCCTATGCTATTTCATACCGTTTCCCACTAAACTGAAGTATGAATGCACCTCCAAATTTTCCCTTAACGAATTTCACCTATTAGCCTAATTAGATAGAGAACTCAAATGTATGTCTTTATTCTAATTTAAAAACATAAAACAGATAATACAAGACTTTCTAAAATTGTGTATGATTAAAGAAACATTTTCGGATTTTGTTCCAGGAGATCTCTGGTAAAGATGCTTCATTTTTGAAGGAAATACTAAAGGTCTACTTAAATTATACATCAGGGTGGTAGTATTTCAGGAATTACAGCCCTATTCAAGCGCTGACTTTCTGTGAACTTAATCTTTCAGACCTCTGTCAAATCTGGGTGGAACAGGCTATACAGTTCCAAGTTTAATAGGAGAGAGTGTCCAATTGCCTAAATAAACTGGACTAAAATAGGTTCTGAAGTCCAGAACGCTCTGCCAAGAGGCCAGATACAGCCCAAGTTCTTCCTTATTGTCCAAGTAGTAAGAGGAAAAAGAAAAGTGCTTACAGTTGTTACATACTTAGTGTTACCACACAGGACCTTTAGAAGGCACTGCAGAATGAGCGAGTGCTCTTCTGTCCACCTTTTTGAGGATTGATTTCAGCAATATAGAATGACAAACCCTAATTTCTTATAAGTTATTTCACCCACCCCTAAGAGAAATTATGGCTTAATGATGGCTTATTCTTCTCCACTGAGACTGCTCAATGTATTTCAAATAGAAAAAGTAAAATGGACAGAACTTGCCAGTGACCTTGTTTTTATTTAGGAGCACATAAAAAAAGTTATGCCACAGCTTTGGTTGACTGGAATGATATGCATACGTAAGTTTTAACAGTTTTTTTTTTTTTAAAAACAGTAAACATAACATGTACATTCAGTTGTGCGCAGGACAAACACTGTCAAGAACACATTTACACTACAGAAAATGAAATGCTTTAAGTTCAGAGCTGTGAAACCCTTCATATTTTTGGTATTTAACTGGTATTCTATAGAATTAGTCTGTAGAAGCCATTTCATGTATAGTCAGTTTAAACACTCGGACTCTGTGGCAAGGTGAATGTAATTATAGTTGCACTGATTCTGAAGAAAAGCAAGAGGCTTACTTGTTTAAAAATACTACCTTGAGGCGGTCTCTTCTGCAACTTAAATGTGAAAGGCATTATCTAGCTTATAGTTTATGAGATCAGTTAATAATCAGCCACTTGAACTTATGAAAGTGGACAATATTTCGCATACATTTGGGATAACTATAAACATTCAAAAATTTATCATGCCACAGATAATCACAAGAACTGCTGAAACAGGATGATTACTCTACATAACCCAATCACTCAAAGCACCACTGACTTACTAAAGCTTCTCACAGCTCTTCTAAGATCTTCAATGATTTTTAATGAGAGCTGTTGACAACCACCTGAAGTAGGAGAGAGGTATAAAAATCCCAACGGGGCCATCCTGAAGCCTGAGTATTCTGTTACATGTTGTAACATTAAGCATTGCGTTCTGCTAGGACCGCAGTCTCTCTCTGCTCTGAAGGGCTAGTAATAAAGCACAGATGGGATATTTACAATTTTCAGGATAAACTTACTAGCAGACCAGCTGTAACCATTTCTCTTTTTATAAACCCTGCTTTTTAATGTCACCTTTTTGTACAAACATATGGTTAAGCAAATAAAGCTGTCTTTTTAGTAAACAAAAGACATTTTTTGATAAAAACATATAAAAGACAATTTTATCTGCTGGGTGATATACAGGTACCCACATATAAGCATGAATACTACGCAACAAAAGAGAAGGGATATTTGAATGTTATAGGTCTGATGTAAACATAGAATAAAAGTAAGGAAACTCCTAAGTGAAAATAACGTTAACTCACTCCATTATGCCTAATTATTGCAGCATATATGATACAAAATCATTCAAATACAGAAAGCATCTGCTTACTTTCAAAACAGGCAAAGTGATTTCTTTGGAAATGTAGTTAAATTTAAAAAAAAAAAAAGAAAGAAAGAAAGAAAGAAAGAGCGAGCTCCTAGCAAAGACATGTGTTACCTTTTGTTACCTTTCAGCCCACAAAAGAAATTCACAGGCAAATTATAAACTCCTGAAAATAGAAGTTTATAATGACAACAGATAATGCTTCATTACAGTGGCATCAACAATGCCACTATAACATACCAGTGGATTGTTATTTTCTTTGTTTTGTACAGTAAATATTTGAAGACACCAAAAAGGTTCTTGTGCAGCTTTTCTGTTAAAGGTGTGTAGTACATCAAGCTGATAAATATTTCCTTAAATGTTTTAGGAAACAAGAAGAGATCTTTGACCTAGATATGTAGAGTGCACACTAGTTAAGTCTTTAGTCCATATGGGGTTAAGTGCACTATGAAATGCAGACGTGAATGGCTTTTGAAAGCTCAATCATCGTTTAGTTTGTTTCTCTACAACCAAACGCACACTAAAGAATTGTTTAAGAAGTTGCTTCCAAGTTCTCTGATCAACTTCATTTCTTCTCAGAAAGAGCTTCATCACTAACTTTTGCATCGAGTGAGGTCTCTTCAACAGATAGCTTAACATTAGATACACAACCAGAGGATCCACTGGTAGCTGCAAAGGTAAAGAGGAGAAAAAAAATATTAGGTTTTTTACATAAGAACAAAAAGGTAAAAAGCAAAGCAAATATATCAAAAGTTGCCTAGCACAGAAACAAACACAATGCTACAATAAGTAGCTTTTTCAGAAATTTAAACTAAACTGATCTTAAAATTACATGTTTAGCTATCCACCACTATTAAAAACTCATTATACTAGCTCTAAAGTAAAAAAACCACCCCAAAACCACGCACCTCAATAGGACAAATACTGAATTTTACAAAGTCAGACTAACAGCAGAAGGAGCTTATTTTAATAGATAGAAACAGATGAAAGCAGATTTGAAAACCCTACAAAGCAAGAAATGAACTAAGAACAGAAAAGCCAAAGCTGGAAGAGGTAGAAAAAAAAAAATTTCTTGGAGTTGCAATACAAATAAAGCAAAAAAAAAAAAAGTAAGTGTAAGCTGCTGGACAGCATTTTAGAAAGATCTATATATCTAAAAAACCCAATGGCAACAAAAACACTTTAGCAAGTTTATAATAGGAACCAGACATTAAATTTATATTTTCTTATTCCTAAAATACTGAACTAAAGCTGGTAATGTAATTTAAATACTTTGGCCCAGCAGATATCTTAAAAGCAATTCTTCCTACGTTTGGCATGTAGAAACAGGCACAGTTTTAGATTCATGAGTTTATACATGGGCTTGCAGAGGAAACGTCAGCAAAAACCCAGTCACTGGACCTAACAAAGTTGTCACATACAGCATCCTCACTGAAATAGCAAGGATTCCAGTGCTCCACCAAACAATTTCTTCAAGCAGAAAATAAAAAAATAACCCCAGATAGCTCATTAAAAAGGAAAGATGCTGACTTCAGGGAACCACCAATCTACAGAGAACACAAAGGAAGAGAAGTTCAGCTGTAAGGGAAACGGGCAAGAACCACCAATTAAGGCATATCCTGAAGAGCAAAACAACTTTGTTAAATAAGGAGGTAGTGGTTTAGAAATATAACCGGGACTAAGATTTCAACTTTCC